AATCAAATCAAATATAAATTTGTATTTGTATTTGATTTGATTTTTAAATCAAATATTCAAATATCAAATTGAATTGCGGAACCCTAACAAGAACGATCATATATTTCTTTAGAATTAAATGATTTTGAAGTTTCTTTGTGTATTTCAGTAAGTTGAGCATTTTGCATATGAGTAAATTTATCTTTTAGTTCATCTAAAATGGCAGTATCCTTTTTTGAATTTAATAACTCAGAAGCTTTTATAAAACCTGCCATGAGAAAAAAAGAAATTTAATTTAATAATTATAATTTGCCCCTTATATATTTGCGTCAAATAAGCTTAAACTTTATAATAATGTATAATTACATAAATTTACGAGATAATTATGTAAATTTTAGTAGACTATTACGTAAATGGCAGGAGATAAATCAATTATATCCTAGCTAATTGTAATAGTAAAATTTTACTTAGAATCAGAATATGATCGTATCGGCCGATTATTTATCCAATCCTAGTAAAATTTTACTTATTCCTAATTAGTCAGGATATAACTAATACTTAAGCATTGTTTCTTCAGTTCAGAAATTTATATTAATAATTATAATTCAAAATAGTACTATGATTTTCTGGAAAATATTATATGATGGCGAAGATTGAACAATATTTCTATGCTAGAATAGATTAGACTGTGAACTATACGTAATTTAGAATTTTTAATCGAAAATTGCAAAATCATACTTGAAAAGTTCCATTTTGTTTAATTGCGTTGGTAAAATATGCATAACACTGTTTGTTATTGATTTTGTAAGTCATAATTTAGTAATCACAGTTTTGTATGAATTTAAGATAATTATTACCATTTATTTTTTTTTATTTTTTTTTTCTGCATATCATGGAAATCATTCAAAAAAAATTCTATATATCTAAAAGATTTTTTTTTATGAAAAAGTTGTTAATCTATCTTTTTCTTCAATTAGTTGTTACAATAGATAATAAATTTTAAGAAAATAACATTTTCATATAATCCTTTTATATTAAAAATATACTTGTCTAGATATTCGTAAAAATTTCAATATTTTCATAAACTTGTTTTGCTGATTCCAAAACAAAGGATCAGATCTAAAATTATGTCAATTCTTTTGACAGATCAGTGAAATGAATACCATTATTTGGTAAATTCTATTTTCACATAGTTTCATTGAATTAATTCTAAAAAAAAATTTATGTTATAAATACTTAAAATTAATTGAACTAATAATTTTTAAGAATATTAAGATTCTTTAGTAATAAAAAAAATTGAAGCTATCTCAATTACTTTAAATTTTATTATTCAATTTAAAAATCCAATTAAAGCATCCTTGATAGATGTATTGGTATCTAGCATCTTAACTACGAAAATATAAGCACTAAATTTATAATTTATAATGAAAATTTTAAATGCAAAATAAATATTACAAAAAATAAATTATATTGATACTGTTTAAAATAATTGTACAAAAAAGCTTAGCCATTGTACTAATTGATTTAACTAAATTTAATAATAAAATTAATAAAATATTTGATATACAATAATAATTAATTTGAATTACATATTTAATTCATCTTTTGTAATATTTAAATTTTTTATTAAATTAAAAAAAAAGATATTAGCATTAAAGTATTTATTAAAATTTTATCTGTTTTATAATATTATAAATATTATAATAATTACTAATATTTTGACAAATAATATCTAAATTATTAATTTTATCATCTAAAATTTTATTTAAATTTTCAGTAAAATTAAGTAAATGACTTGTATAATATACTTGTAAATGAGATTTAGAAATAATAATAATATTAATAATAATATTATTTTGCTTTTCATTTAATAATTTATCTGCTTTATAAAATTCTATAATATCATCTATTAAATTTTTATCAAAATCTTTAATTATTATATTTTTATACCAATTTTTAATAATCTTTTTAATTTCTAATGTAATTGGTCTTTTTTTTGGATATATATTCCAACATTTTTCTATTAAATTTTTATAACATTGTGGAGTATTTTTAGTAATTTCAAGACGTTTTCCATTACAAATATTTAAACTAAGTTGTAAATCATAGGCTTCATTATTAAATTGAAGAACTCCAGATATTAATTCCTACATGATCATAGAAAAACTATATATATCACTAGCTAATGTATAAGGTTAACCTTTTAAAACTTCAGGTACTACAAATGGTAATACACCATAAATTTCATTATTTTTAGATGATTGAAAATATTCTACAGATTTACATAATCCTAGATCACTAACAGTTAAAATATTATCTTTAATATTTAAAATATTACCATGATGTAAATCACAATGAATAAGATTTTTTTGATGTATTTCATCAAGTCTATTAATAATACAAAGTAAATGTAATAATTTAATAATCCATCTATCTTTAACCATATTTAATAAATTTTTTCTAAAATTGCTATTTTCTGCATATTTCATTACTACCATATAATTTAATGTATTTGGATTTTGAGTAAATCCATATAATTGAATAAAATTTTCACTTGAATACATATTTAATTAACTAAAACATTTATAATAATGTTTCCACTAAATAATAAAATATAAAAATTTTAAAATTAAATATAAATATTAATTTTTATATAATTATTAATTTTTACCTCATTTAAAAATTCTTCATTCAAATTAGATGATTTATTAAGACTTTTAAAAGTCACATTTATTTTATTTTCTCTAATCCAAATTTTATTATTATATGAATAAGATTTAATAAATCCATCTAACCAAGTAGCTTTATATATAATACTAAATCCACCTTCATCAAGATACTCAAGATTTATAAATTTATCATAAGAAATCAATTCTAATATTTGTTTTTTATTTTTGGTATTCAGTTGAGTATCTTGAATAAATTTATTAATATATTTATTTTTGCTATTCCAATTAGAAAACTTTTGTTGAAAAATTTTAGAATTACATTCCTTACACCATTTATATCCAGTATTTTTTTTATTACAATTTAAACATTTTCCTTTTTTCTAAATAATTATTTCATATCATTAGTATTATTATTATAATTTTGTTATAATTTTAAAATAAAATATAATACTTACAAATTTAATAAGTTTAATATATAATAAATTACAAATATATAATATATTTTTAATAAATTTAATATGTAATAAATTTACAAATATATAATATATTATTAAAAAAAAGGTAAATTAAAATATAAATAACTTACTATCTTTAGTAATATTTTTATTTTTAAATAAAGAATTTAATTGATTTTGAATTATAGTTGAAAATATAATTAAATACTAATAACTAAAAAAATAACTTACTATCTATTTAATTTATTTTTATTAATAATTTTTTTAAAATAAAATATTTAATAAAGTTTAAACTTATAATAAAGAAATAATAATTAAAAACTGAAAAATAGAAATAATTTACCATCTATTATATTTTTTATTACAAATTATTTTTTTTTTAAATAGATAGAATTAATATTTTAGATTAAAATACAAATACTAATTATATATTAAGAATTAAAAAAAATTGCTTACAATCTAAAATATAAATTTTAAAATTTAAAATATAATAAAAAATATAATTAAATATTAAATATTAATAAAATAACTTACCATCTTGAATTTATTAATTATTAAATATTATTATATAAAAAAAATTTAAATTTTATTGAAATTGTATTAAAAAATATAATTAAATAATAATTAATAAAAATAATTTACCGTCTATTATATTATTAAATTTTTTTTAAATAAATATTTAATTAAATTAAAATATTATAAAAAATATATATATTATTAATAAAATAACTTACCATCAATTGCAACAGAAATTACTAATTATTTTTTTTTTAAATAAAATATATAATTAAATTTAAATTTATAGTAAAATTATAAAATTACTTACTATCTAAAATAATTAAATATATTTTAAATAATATATTTAATATATTTTAAATTACAATAAATATTTTACCAGCAATTATATTATTAATTACTATTTATTTTTTTTTAAAAAAAAATTTTAATATTTTTAAGTAAAATTATAATTAAATACTATAATTAATTAAAATAACTTACCATCTATTTATTATTAATTTTTTAATAAGATATTTAGATAAGTTTAAATTATAGTAAAAATATAACTAAATATTAATAATAAAAAAACTTACCCTCTATTGTATTATTATTATGAATTATTTTAAATAAAAATTAATTAAATTTAAATTATAGTAAAAGCACTTAATAATTAAAATAATTTATCATCTATTATTTTATTAATTATAATTATTTATTTTTAAATAAAAAGTTTAGTTGCATAATTAAATACTTAATAATTATTAAAAATAACTTACTGTCTAAAATATTTAATTTTTTATAAATTTAGTAATTACAATAAAAAATAAATTAAATTAATAATAATAAAAATAGCTAACCATCTATTATATTATTAATTATTAATATTTAATAATAAGAAATTTAATTGCATTTAAATTATTAATAATAAAAATAAATTACAATCTATAATTTTAATGATTTTAAATAAAAGTTTAATTAAATTTAAATAATAAAAATATAATTAAATATTAATAATCAATAAATATAACAATAACTTACAATCTAAATATTAATTATATTTTAAATAAATTTATTTAAGTTTAAATTATATTAAATGATAAAATTATGTTGATAATCAATAAAATAATTTACTTCCTTTATAATATTTTTGTTTTTTTTAAATAATAATTCAGTTATTTAAATCATAATAAAATATAATAATAAATAAACAACTTACTTTTTTTAGTAATTTTTTATTTTAAATTAGAAATTTGGTTATAATAAATCATAATTAAATAAATATTAATAATCTATAAAATTACTTATTTTCTTTAGTAATATTTTTGTTTTTTTAAATAAAAATTTAGTTAAATTTAAATTATAGTAATTAATACAATTAAATACTAGTAATTAATAAAATAACTTGCTTCCTTTATTAATATTTTTGTTTTTAAATAAATATTTTGTTAAGTTTAAATTATAGTATAAAGTATAAATAAATTTATAAAAATAACTTACTCCCTTTAGATTATTTTTTTTAAATAAAAAATTTAATTAAATATAAATTATAATAATAAGCAAATAATAAAAAAATTACTTACAATCTAAAATATTATTATATTTTTTTAATAAAAAATCTAGTTAAATTTAAATTATATTAAAGGTATAATTATAATCAATAAAATAAATTACCATCTATTTTATTATTAATGTTAATTATTTTTAATATAAAAAATTTAAAGTATAATTTAACTATTAGAATAACTTACTCCCTTAGTTATATTTTGTTTTTTATATAAAATTTAATTGAGTTTAAATTATAGTAAAAAGTATATAAAATACTAATATTTAAATAAACATAACTTACAATCTAAAATATTAAACATTATTTTAAATAATCATTTAGTTGAGTTTATATTGCAGTAATATTATACTAATATTTCTAATATTTAATAAAAATTTACCATCTATTGTAATTTATAATTAATAATTAAATTGAGTTTAAATTTTAGTAAAAAGTTTAATTAAATAATAAAAATAACTTACTCTCTTTCATAATAATATTTTTATGTTTTAAATAAATTTTAGTTGAAATTTAAAATTACAGTAAAAATACTAATAATCTATATTATTAATTAATTTAACATTTTATAAATAAAAATTTAATTGTATTTTTACAATAAAATGAATATTCAATTAAAATAAATAATTAACTTTCTGTAATTTTATTAACAATTTAATATTTTAATTAAAGTTAGTGTAAAATTATAGTTTAATTAATAAATATAACTTACGTTCTATAATTTTTAAACATAGATTTAGTAGAGTTTAAATATAAAAGTATAATTAAATATATATAGTATATACAGTATATTTAATAAAAATAACTTACCGACTAAATTGCCATTAAAAAATTTTTTAAAAAATGTATGAATTATATTTAAAATTAAAATATAAAACTAAAAATTACTTACTCCCTATGGTATTATTGATCATTAATTAAAAAGTTTAATTAAATTTAAATTGTTCAAGTCAAGTTAAATGGCTTACAGTCTAAAGTATATAACAATTAAAATTAAAAAAAAGTAAATATTAAAATATATTTTTTGACTTAAAAAATTACCATATAATTCACTTAATGTAGGGGCATCAGGAGCATCTAAAACTGGCTCTATTATAATATATTAAATATTGAGATTAATTACTATGATTATAGTATTTAAATATTCATTACCATCTAATCCTTCTAATTTTTTGAACATAAATTGAACATAATTAACAGATTATATATTTATTAAATACTTATATTGCAATCGTATTTACCTTCAACATTCGAAATTAATTCTATATTTCGAATTTTTAAAATTTTTTAGTAAATAAAAATATAATTAACGAATTTTTAGTTATTAAATTTAATTTCATAACTCAATATTACGATATTGGTTAATTATTTATGTATTTACCTTCTTCACTTGAAGCATGTTATATATTTAAATTGATAATTTTTAGTGAATAAAAATGAGTATAATTAACGAATTATTATAAATTTATAAGTGGTTAATAATACATGGAATTACCTTCTGTTTCTTCTATTGAGGATGTTTCCTCAGAATTCGAAACTGACTCTAATGTAATGAGAATTTATGAAAAAAAAATTTTGTAGAAAATCATACCGTCAATAAACTCATTTGAGGCATGCTGAGCTATATATATATATATACTGTTGGAATTTTACCTTTAGAGTTACTATCAGACATTAAAAAGAGAGTTTTTTTTAAAAAAAAATTTTTTTTTTTTTCAACCAGATCTTGTATAAAGATAATGGTGATACATATAGTAATGAAGATCAGCTAGGTTTAGTATATAATAAACTGACCTATACTAACTTTAACCTACAAAAATTCAGTATAAAAACCATACTCAATACCTGTTCACGTGACATACTCTAATCATTATCTTGACCTTAATCCACTCCTTTTTGTAAAATTTATACCAGCTTCAAAGTATATTTCAAAGGAAATCATAAATAATAATTTCGCTTGTTGATACCTACTGATGCATCGTTATCATCCCTTCTTTTATAAAATATTCTATATTTTCTATTCCAACTTTATTTTATTTTCATCACCAATACCGTCATCGATACTAATCATTTATCGTCATTTATTATTTCTCGTTTTTTGATATATTTTATATATCTTCCATCTGGCCTTGCATTTAAATTTCGTCCTTTTCATTATAACTTCTATTTAACTCTATAAAATGATATTAAAGCAATTTTGATATTCACCTACTTTCGGTATGATAGCGGTTGTGAAATTACGCCTCGGTTCTTTCGTAGTATTTGATTCGATCTTTCGATTCGATAGTTTCTATATTTGAATCCATCGAATTCACTAATCATGATGATAAAGGAATGATTAAAATGTCACAAAAATTGTAAACGGAATAATCACCGAAATTTATTTTGTCAGAAATGTCAACAACAGAAACGAGAGAAAATGAAGGTTCGATATGTTCAAAATTCTAGTCTATTATTATAGAACGCTGAAAAATTTCATTTTGTAATACATTTATAAAATATACATTTTCTACTCAAAGTAAGGTTAATTTCACAAATTTTTTGAAACCAAATAAAATAATAGTGCTGTCTCTCTTAAAAAGAATCATGGATACATGTGATGTATGATCTTGAATAACGCGTTTTGAATGGTATTTTTACAAAAATCTTTATTGTATTTAACTTTCATGTGGGTCTTACATTTACGCAACAACCAAAAATAAAGCTTTTTTTAGAAAAATCGCCTCTGAGATCTTTTTCTAAAAATATTCAAATAAGCACCTCTCTTAAAGTGATTAGCTAGTGATTGGGTAATGCTCAAGCTTAAATGGAGATCACTGACTGCTTGATCAATCTTTATCTTTCTATCAATTTCAATTTAAAAATAACAAAATAGCTCGCAGAACTTTAGCTCCAGTTCCTTTTACCAATTTAACAAATAATTTATCGATGCAACAACCCTATAATTGAGACAGCAGCAATTTATATAGAATCACGTTTAATTTTTTTGTAATTTTTTTTGAATACAATTATTTAAAAATTCAAAAATTTTTAGATTACATTCTCTCAAAACTTTCAAGAAAGAATAAATTAAATGGTTGTGGATATTGTGAAAAGGTATTGGAAGATTATTAATGTAGGTTACCCGTAGTTTAAAAAAATTTCCGACATGAAAATCGTGCTTAATTTTTTAGCCAATCAGATAATTTTTAAACATCTTTCGAAACTTTCTTTAAAAAATAAGAAATTACCACTCGGAAGCTTCTTATTGATATATTTTAAAAACACGTTCCTCTGGACTTTCGATAAATCTTTATCCCTCTGAGGTTTCCCTGATGAAATTTTTTTATTCATCATCATTTACATTTATCAGATAAAAAATGCGTGAGATTTTAAATAATTATTTATTGGAAATGATTAAATCTTGGTTTACTCCGATCTGTAATAACTATAATACAATGGTTATTGTGTCTTTGTGAAGAATATAATCTCACTTCAAAAGTAATCAAATGTCTCCAAATTATATCAACCATAAACTTATCATTCCATTTTTAAGAAAATGATATAAAAGAAGGTGGAAAGAGCAAATAAATTCATTTCAATCTATTTGCGATTCTGAATCAATAATAGAAGAATGGGATTTGCAATGTTTATTTCAGACATAATAAATATCTTTTATATTTTGCTTTCCTTTAAATTTCAGATTATATAAAGTCCGGATACGATTTCACATACCTTCTTTCTTAAACTCAGTATATATAACAGAAAATCAATTTAATATGCAAATTTGTATATATGATCTTTCTTCGATTGAATATAATAAATGGGTTGATGGTGCGTTTTTATTGACGAAACTCCATATTGATTAATGTTACCATAAAAATAAAAATTTGAAAATTAATATATCTAAAGTAGGTGAAAATAGCTTGAGAAAAAATGTTTTATTTACATTTTCTTCATTTCTCGCTCGAGTTAAAAAATAAGATAATACTCATAAATTTTCCGAAGTTGGATATCTTATGACCAAAGTGGATAATTTCGAAATATATTAATTAATTAGTACAGACAATTAAATAATAATAAAATAAATATATATTATACAGTATGTTGAAATACCTTTAGAAGTAATTTCAATCTTAATATAAAGTGGAAAAAATATCATGAATCTAAATTTTTGATCATGTAACTCTCTAAATTAAAGGAAATATAAAATACGGTTTTTAGAAGTAATAATAATAAATGAAGAAAATATATAAATTTTCTTACCTAAATCTTCGCTTATCATTACGAAGTGCACATCATCATCATCTTCTTGATCAATTATAATTTTAGAACTTAAATCCTGACTTAAAATTTTATTTAATTTTGCAGAATGATCGAATTTTCTACTTGTATAGCAAGATGACGGATGTTTTTGAATAACAAGTTCATGTTCTACGATAAATTATAAAATCTTAGCACTGATTTTTATAGTCAATAAAATAAATTACTTTATTACCTGGTACAGGTATCCTATTGATATTAAATGGATATTTTTTCATTAATACTTGAAATTTATTTACCAAATCATCAGCACTAGGTCTTTTATTTGGATCCAGGTCCCAACAACTTTCCATTATCTCTACATAATTTGGAATGGAATCTTCAATTATTTTAGGTCTTAATCCTCGACAAATATCTAGAGTTAACTTTAAATCATGAGGGACATCGTGTAAAGCGGGAACTCCTGATGTGTATTCCCACATAATTATACCAAAAGAATATATGTCAGATGCTCTGGTATATGGCTTGCCGCGCAAGACCTCTGGCGCCATGTAAGGAATTACTCCAAAAATATCATTATTAAAGTGATCAGAAGGTCTGCTTAATCCCAAATCACTTACATAAACACGATTTTGGTGTTGCAAAAGTAGGTTACCACTATGAAAATCTCCATGAAATAAATTACATCCATGCAAAGCGGAAAGTGATGTGGCAATGTGGAATAGATTCCCATATTTATCGTTCGGATTATATTTTTTTATCATAAGATTTGATTTTAAACTACCAACTTTCATTTCTTTTAATACGAACATATAATTCAACGTTTTAGGATCTTGAGTAATTCCATAAATTACCATGAATGATGAATTATGATTGCTAACTGAATATATGAATTGTAAATAATTTTTCCACTAGATATTAAAAAAAAATAAAGATAAATATTTACCAAAATTTTCATTTAAATTTATGAACTTAAATAGAAAACTTACTTCATCCAAAAAATTTTTATGTAGTTCTGAAGAATTGTTTAAACTCTTGAGAGCTACATAAAGTCCAGATTTTTCACCTTCCTTAAGGGGTGAGATAACTCCCTCTTTTTCTGCATTTTCACCAACTTCTTCAATAGCTTCAAGGAATCTTACCCATTTTTGTGTATCTTTATTATATTTCCAAATCGCTCCATCCAACCAAATAGCTTTATAAATAGTGCTAAAACCTCCTCTAGCAAGATATTTTATATTTCTTAAACGAACATAAGGGATCCATTCTAATAATTCATGTTCTCTTCTTGCTTTCAATTGAGTTTCCCGAATAAATTTATCGATATGTTCATTTCCACTCGTCCACTTGTTGAAATTTTGTTGTAATAATTTAGAATTGCAGTTTCGACACCACCAACTATAAGTTTTTGGTTGATCGCAATCAGGACATAAACCGAACTCTTCCTCAAGTATATATTGTTCGTAGTTCCTAGTTTTTTCCAAAGTACTGGTAATCATATATAAAATTTATTTTGCTTTAAATTATTTTATTGGCATTTATTACATCTTGAATTGGCAAGTGTCATTCCATATAGAATGTGGCTTATGCTGTGTCACGAATAAATTTCACTGTGGAACAAATTAAAATAGATTTGTTGTAGCCCAAACGTTACCATGTCCCAAGTTAAACTTGGGATATCCCAAATCGGAATTCCTATTTCGGACTTCCCAAACTGGAATTTCGATTT